TTTTCATGAACGCATTTAGAAGTTAAAAATCGGTGGCATCACAGGAAGGTACTATCTCTAAAGGTGTACCTCAGGGGTCTATTCTTGGACCTATTGTGTTTTCTCTTTATGTAGCGGACTTAGATCAAGTCACTAAATACTGCAAAATAACATACCTACGCCGATGATACACAGATTTATCTATCTTACAACCCTGCTATGTGCACCGAAGGGAATGAGATGCTGTCTGAGGATTTAAATAGTATATGTGTTTGGTATAACAAACATGGCTGGTGTATTAACCATAGAAAGTCGGCAATCATAACTATGAAATCTGTGCGTGCGTGCGTGCGTGCGTGCGTGCGTGCGTGCGTGCGTGCGTGCGTGCGTGCGTGCGTGCGTGTGTGTGTGTGTGTGTGTGTGTGTGACGGTAAGAAAGAAAGAAAAAGGGGGGATATAACTGAATAGTGACGAATTCCAGACAAGGTTTATGTTATATGGTAATATTTGCTTTTTTAAGAAATTGAATTAGCGCTAAATAAATTTTTATATCCGGAAAGGATAAAATGGTAGTCAAACTTAAAGGTAGTTGGAAGCCAAGTTTAATCATCTAAGCGATGAATTGGTCGGAGATATTGTTGTAAAGATTACAAGCAAAAAATATGTGATTTAGATCGGATATAGAAAATTCATCACAAGAACAATTTGGAGACTCTACTACACCTATTCGATGAAGATGAACAGGATAGCAACCAAGACCCAATCTCAATCTCGTTATAATTGTGGAGAATCTTCTATTCATATAGAAGAGATCTATGTGAGGAATTATATTGGGAAGGGTCGGGTGAATAAGGGCATATTGATTTTGGGAGTTTGCTACAAAGTTGGACCAGATCAAATCCAATCTTTTCTTGATGTTACCTCTGATCTCTATGAATAAATCAGAAAAAAGTGGCACATCAGTAATAGTACTGGAGTTAATTGCATTTTTTGCAGCTTTATCAACTATATCGTTGCCTCTGATGCCAGCATGCCCTTTTATCCAAACAAAGTTTATCTTTGCTCTTTTGGCTTGACAAGTGACGAGTAAGTTTCTGATTCATATAATCATATGAGGATTTTGTTTAACTACTTCTAAGACTGATCTCAAATCGGGGGCACCCAATACCCATCTCACTTTTGGAGCCGTCGGTATAGACAACAGTGTGGCAATTGAGATCTTCCAATACGGCAGATATTGTAATAACAGTTTTCGGTATATGTAGGGACTGTGATGGTTGTTTCATTAAGCAGTACTTCATAAGGGCCAACATATAACGGGTGATTATCCATAGGATGAATTAAATTAGCGATATGACTGGTCTCTACGAAAGCTTCAGCAGTGGTGAAAATTTTTTTCGAAAGTACTTGTTAGTCAAATCTGCAGTTACTAATTGTAATATCTTACTAAGCAAGTATTCGTTATAGGTTCTGTATTTGACAACTGCCTTCTCTGCAAAGTACCTTCTTCGTGATGACTATGAACTATTTAATCTGAATTCAGAAAATTTACTGGTGATCAATATGAGGTGATGAACTTTGCCACAAGACATCGGTTCGCAACTTGGGCATCACATTTGATGAGAACCTGTGCTTCCATGACCATGTCACCAAAGCTGTGCAGGGTTCCTATGCTGAGTTTAAATCAATTTATAGCTATAAAAATGTATTGTCCAGGCAGTCTAAGGTTAAGTTGTGTGACTCCCTTATCCTCAGTAAACTTGAATACGGGGACCTTGTCTATGGTCCATATCTAATACAGTGCGAGGCATACAGACTCCCAAAAGTGCAAAAAAGCTGCATAAGATTCAGTTTAGGTATTCAAAGACGGGAGAGGGTATTTGATCATATTAAAAATATTCAATGGCTTATTATGCGACAAAGGTGGATACTGCATTTATTCGAAGAACAAGCTTACCATGAGGTGTGATCATCACTCAGCGAATCTGCGTTTTTTAGGATATACTCCTTACTGGCCCCGGCACCGAACAACCCAATTCAGAAAGAGCTCCCCATATGTGGCACCCGATTTCTACAATAAAGCTCAAGATTTGAAAACTCTATCTGTGTCCTGCTTTAAAAGAAAAATTAAGCTCTGTGTCTTTGATGACATGTAACATGTATTTTTATGTAATTTTATTTTTATATCTGTTTATTTGTGCATGTTTCCCCACTTGCCTCTTTTCATTTGTTTGTGTTTTGTTTAAGAATCTTTTTGCTGTTTACTTTTAATTTGTATATGTTCCGCCATATAATATTTTTTAAAGTTATTTCTAAGCATGGTTTTTGATTCTGCTACTCACTCTGTTGATGCACGCTTCTCTTTTCGTCATTATACCATGCATAGGCTACGATGCTGTAAAAAAAAATTTTCTGCTTTAAATTTCCTTACTATCTTTGTATTTTTTTATATGCGAGTACTTGAATATTTTGTCAGCCCTGGTTGGTTCTGAAAAACAGCTTTTGCTAATGTAACCCGACAGGTGAAATAAAGCCCATTTATTATTATTATTATTAACGCCGAGGAGCAAAGCAAATTGGCGTAGAGGTAGGCGAGAGCTAGATCGCCGAAAGCCCGCCGTTGTGAGAATGTCCCAAGACTAATATCCGTTAGAGAAGAGTCATCGATCAATCGGACAGCCCTGCGATGAACAGCACCTAGAATGGATATTGTAGTCGGGGCGGCACCATCCCAAACATGTGAGCAGTACTCGGGGCCACCTCTTATCTAGGCTTGTACAGAGTGATTAGGTCATGTGAAGAAAAGTACTTATCAGCCCTGAACAAATAGTCCCAGCAGCTGCTTGATGAGATTTGTTCGTGCCAGATCAAGTTCTCGGTGATCTGGACTCCGACCAGCCCAAATGAGCAGCTCTTTGGTAAAACTCGGCCATCCATCGAAACGGGATGAGGGCAAGGAACGCTTCTTGTTCATCAAGGTACTGTTTTGGAAGCATTAAACTGTACCAGATTTTTGCGTCCCCAAGCAGTGTCCAGGTCTCTCGTCAGAGAGGAAGTAGGTGTTAGTCTTTCTTTTTCCACCTCACCGGCAGAGATCGGCTTTACTACAGCAAAGAGGGTCGTTGATATGTAAAGGAACATGGTCAGAGCCAAGACCGATCCTTGGATGAGTCATATCGATGTCAAATAAGTTGCCTATAACTTTTAACAATTTGAGCCGACCAAAATGGCCTTTTTATGTAAGGCTTAAGTATTCCAGATGGCTTGATAAATCTGCAATGAAGGAAATTAAAGACAATGATTGTTTATTTACTTGAAAGCTTACGTTTAGCTGTAAGCTACGATTATAGTTTTAACATCGACAACCGATGTCAAGCGAGGGACTCTATTGACAAAATAACGGCGGAAGCGACTCGCCGCCACGTCTGTGGCCTTGAGTTCGATGGGTGTAAGTGTGGGTAGGAGCAATATGTCATCGCATGACAATAATAACCACTGTTTTTTTTCAAGAACCGAGTACGGGGTATTCGGCCAAATTCGAATACCGAGTACTAGATATTCGGTGAAGTAGTTGGCCGGGTCCTCAGTGAAGTGTTATGTTCTGGGTTATTCCACCCTTGGTTAGTGACAGTCAGGTTGAATTTGCATTTCCGAAAGGTCCGTTTATTCACAAAATTTCTTTACTTTTACAATTAAAACACCAAAAAAGGAGCCTAGACAATTTTTTGTGAGTGAAGAGCCATATTTCCAAAAATTGATGACAGCGTTGCGTGGAAAGTACAGGGTCAACGTCATTTTTTATTTTGAATTGCGTGCCTTCATATAAGTCCCTATACTTATAGGATGAAACAATTTGAAACTTCTTACGCAATATTTGTAAGTCTTATTATTCATGATCATGTACGTATTGTGTTTACTGTTAACGTATAGACAATAAGAAAAGTAAATATTTCTGTTTTGAAATTTCAGATAGCTGATGGTCTCTATTAATCTGAATAGTTCGGTCCACCTGAACAAAGGAGTAACGTCAGTTTTCATATTTTGTTAATTATTATTCAAGATTTGTGTGCAACATTAAATAAAGAAAGTGTCCGAACAATACTCTGTAAAAGGAAAAGCAAGCCGTTAAATTATATCCCACGCACTAGTATTCTAGTAAAATTAAAAGCAAAATTATATGCTAACCTATATCTTACGTGCCCATTCACGATAATGCTCTTGCTAAATGAAGTGTTCCAGCACAAAATATCTTTGTGTAAAGGACCTGGTACAGGTACCTCACAGTAAAGCCAGCTATAGAGGCAGGAAAAACGTTATTTTAAAACCTCAGCTTTGAACTGAAAATTGCACTTCTATTTCTTACGAGACGAACACTTTGTGGGTATTATATCAAGCTACATTTATGGTATCGTATGATGGGGCACTTTAAAACAATAATCCAGCTTGATTTGTAGTACAAATAATAAGGAAACCGCAAAGGCTGAGATTAATTGATCAAAAATTTGTTTCGTGGTTGAATAAGCCTATAATGGATTTTGTAAAACGGGAATTCCCAAGTTTAATTCATAATACATCAACGTCTTGCTTTCACTTTCATGCGAAGGTTTTGCAGTTTAATAAAAAAAATTGAATCAGTCCATAGCACTATCGATCAGCGCAATTTCATCTAGCTTTTATAATGTTATTCAATTCACGGGATTCCCAAAGAACAGATGTAACAGTAGTACAGTATGCATATCCCTGTATAGATGTAAGATGCAGATAAAGGACCCTGGATGGCATGGGGTTCGGGGGCAATTAGTCTCCGAGTGTGGCGAGAAGTGAATAAACTTCGCTAAACACCCATGTTCCCTTCTACATGAGGAACAGGTTCACGAATTCTGACAGTGCACGAAAAGCAGGATTCAAAACAAATTAACTATTGTGTATTCAAATCTCATTTACTTTACATGCAATGAAAAGCAAATAGAAACAATGATTGAGTGGTCATGCTTATTTTGACGCGGATTAAGTGAGGTTTGCGAAGGGCATAATATAACATTTATTGTGCGATTTTCTAATTGGACATTTTGTACTCGTATCATATAATACATAAAATAAATCTGGAAAAACGTTATGGCGCCTTTCCATCTATATCCTGAAAATTAGTGGAACATAATATTACAACCACATTCAAGCCCTTCTGTCGAGTTGTGTATACCTTCCAAAATAGTCTAACCTCTTGTATATCTGGCTTTTTTCTGTCCCAATACGCTCTCATGAAGGCCTGAATTTTCTTTGCTGCAGTTTCTCTACTCCAAATTCGTTGGAAAGGAAAGAAAGGTCTCGGACTAAAAATAGTGTTTTGCTGATGGAGCTGAGGTAAATAATTCATCATCATGAGATCGTTCAAAAAATCATTATCAAACGTTTAACAAATTATTATCGGAATGTTTACACCAAACGGATTAGTTAATAGTAGTGCACCCACTGCGTGCGACACGTATGTTAGAAACAGTCGCCTGCAAGTAAAGGAAGGACAGAGCACTCTCTCCTCTTTCGAAAATACGTGTTGCACGGTTCTCTCTCGTACACGCTGGAACTCGACCGACCTCAACAGATAATGATTTACACGGTATACGTTGCCTTTGACATTAATGGCGGTGCGTCCACTAATCGGCAATCCATATGACGTCATCTAGGGATTCTCTACTTTACTTGATTTTCAAGATACTTGTCTTGAGCTTGTCGTTTTTACACTTGAACTACCATGAAGGCCTAAACACCGATGAGTGTGGCTATAAGCGGATACAGCAAAAAGGAGGGATGCCACACGGACCATAGCGAGGGAACACGTGTGCATGCAACATGCTCACATTCTGGCTCCGCCTTAGACATCCGCTGGGTGGTACCTCCGCGTTCGACAGTCATAGACCGTTTGCCACCAACGGACAATCACAACATCCATAACTAAGGGAAAAATTCTCTTGGGATGGGATTCGAACCAGCGCAGCGCACGGCGACTAGATTACTGTACCCATAACGTCTCCTAGTACTCCACCACTGCTGCCTAATATTACTTGATAATTTTTGTAGTATAAATACGAGTAGATTACAAATACACATCGGAACGAGTTTGTGCAAAGTTTCAGAGAATACAATACGTATTGAACAAAATATTTTGTTCACCGTATAAGAGATAAAAGAACGATAAATTTGTAAACTCAAATAGAAAACCAACATTTTTGCATCAGCCGATACAAAAAAATAAAAAATTCCGAATTATTCGCTAACCACGAGTCAATACACATGACGCCTCCTAACGGATTTATCGCTTATAATCTGTTGCACGGTTTCATATACTGTGGTTCGTGCGGTCCTAGAAAATCGTCTTTAAATTAACGCTGTCGATAAAAAATCTCTTGTCATTAAAACTGGATTTGGGAATACAATTTAATGCCTATTCCGTCACTCGTGATTATTCGCATTAAATTCCAAAATGCGGTTCATCCGTTGAACAAATAAATAGCACTGAAGTAGAACAAAAATATAATTTGCCATCGAGTATCAAGTGGTTCGAAAATGATTGACCTCAAGCCATGTAGAACAAAAAAAATGTTTCAAGTAGTTTTATTGTCAAGTCAAGTAGTTTCTAAAAATTTTAAGCTACTTGGCTTGATGAATCCCTAACGTCATCGGTACGACTCTAAATTGTTGCTCCTTCGAAAAATCCTATTTAGATTGCCATTGTGGACTTGTTTACACCTTAAGGGCCTTCCGCACCGCGACGCAATGGTGACGTTGCCAGCTTCTCTCCCCAACTACATCAAGGATCTGTCATTATGTGTCATTGGGTTAAGTTTAGCTACGGATGCTGGCGACGTCGCCATGTGGTCGCTGTGGCATTCTCATTGAGGGAGTGCTCTTAGATGAATTATGCGGACGAATATCTAAATACTAATAATCTGTGGCCTTTTTCAAGTACAAATGACAATTTTGCTGACAGTATAATTAGTGTATCTGTACCCACGTGACGGTTCGTTTGTTTTATCTTTTTTCTCATTCGTCTACAGTGTGATACTATAACAGTGAACGGTCCTGTAACATGCTGAGAATGCGCACAGCCATTATTGCAATTTTAAGATGGCACTGCGAAAAAACAGCAAAGCCCCGGATCACCTGGGGTAGTCATACCCGCTTCCAGAAACACGCCCAGCCTCCCAAAGCGACAAGCGAGCATGAAGATATCTAACATTTTTTCTATGTACCAGACAAGCAGTCACCCCTGCCAACGTCAGGAAAACGTCTGGTCCTCCGAAAACGTAAAAGCCCACAAGACAAACACATGGTTCCCTTCAGACGACGAAGTACTATTTCTCACATTTAAGATCCATAAACAATGCAAATGCAGCATTTGTAGTCGAAGATTGCATAACAATTAACCGATGTGTATTGTGACCACAGTTCTGGGTGGGATTTCGCGTTTTCGGACTTTTGTCGTTTTCAGGACTATGGGCGAGGGTGACGTTATCGGGTACATTAAAAAAAACGAGAGATAACCTCTAGCTAGCTTGTCACTTTAGGAGACTGTACGTCCTTTTCGGAGCAGCAATGCCTTCCCGAGGCAGCCCTGAGCTTTGCTCATTTTACGCGGTGCCATCTTAAAATTGAAATGATACACTCGTATTATCATAATGGTAATTTGTACTTGAAAAAGCTACAGTGGGGCTGAAACGTCGTTTTAGTAACCAGTTATACAAACAAATGTGGTTTCAGTTAGCAGTCAGACAAACAATGAGGATTATTGCTATGAAAATCACTGTTTAAGTCTTAGGTGCTACTTTATGAACATACTGTTCTGCCAAGGATTCTTTCACCCAATTCATGTCAAATATATTGGTCCATTTTAATCTCCTTTCCGGGTATTTCGGATTCATGTTGTACAAGTATTCACTAAGGAAATCAATCCCATCAAATGCAGTTTTCAGCACCTACAGAATATTCAATCTTACAAGTAGGTAATTCCAACACTAAGAAAAGAGACTTTTAAAATGCTTGGCCAAAAATAAGTTTTGTTCTTATTCTATAGCCACTAAAAGACTGGTAAGGAAAATTCTAGCTGTAATATGTTTCCAATGATATCTCCTATTTTTCTTGTCTAAAATGAACAGAAGAAATACTTGTTATGATACTCACATAATAACTATCATTGTCTGCTACCTTAAAGAGCATCTCATATAAACCAGTTTTAAGTACTGGTTGAACATGATGATTTGTTAAAAATCCAACTGCTGGATCTACAACACATCATGTTTCCTCATTATGTGCAATATGAATACGCTTAGACATAACCATTAACTTACTTGGCTCAATTTCACTCACACAGCTCTTTGATTTCAAGTACTCCTCTATTTTTGCTACATTCTTTTCATAGTTACAGCAGATTTCACCCCATATTATTTTATCAGCCTCAGTTATTTCTGTACCATTATGCTTGTGTATGCTATGGGAGGTGCGAGTTGCTACAGATTCTTGAACTGATCCATCCATACTTGAACATCCGAGTTTGAAACCCAGGTTCAAAGGTATGTCATACTGACATATGATAGTGTTGACAATCTCAGAATCTAATTAGTGGTGGTCAATTTATTGGACTTGAGCAACACCACATCAGGGTACCCAATTCCAGTTTCCCATCACAAAAATATTTGAACTGTCTGCCATTGAAGGCTGGAATTTGTAAAATAAAGTAGTCTTTCTAGAGAAATCACCTTTATTAATAACTATAACAAAATATATACAGAACTCACTTTATATCATATAACCCAGGAGACCTAGGTTCACCCAATCCAATGGCAAACTCTACTGTAGGTGTTTCACCCTCTTTTGCAATCCTATAGTTAGTTCTTATACTTCTCTTATTATATACAATTCTTAATTTAGGTTCTTCAATCTTTTCACCCTTAGCTTCAGCTTCCCTAATGAGCAGTTCCTTAAGAAGTGGTGGAAACTCCATTGTTCTTGGTAAGATATGTTCAGGTTTTGATTCAGTTTTCTGCATGGACTTCTTACAGTACTCTGCCTCTTCATCTCTAGGGATTAACTTATAATCTGCTTTATAACTGCTGGATTCTATCAGAATTGGTTGTGACATGGTTTTGCCTCTGAAGGTTTTTTCAACTAATGCTCGGACTTTCCTTACATCCTACAACAGAATTAAGAATTTTATTGTTGGGCTCTGAACCAATTTAATTATTTGTTTACTGTAAAAGATACTTCAAGCTGAATGTTTATAGCTAAATATGGAAGACGCACGAAGACCTACATCCATAGAAGGTTCTTGGGGGTTCGCAAGTGTCTCCACTTTCAAAATTTTGTAGTATGATGGCTCTTGCTGGCATTCGAATCTACTTCTAGCCACGATTCTTCCAACGCCATAGTTTTTCAAATTACCCAAAATTTCCCATAACGTTTTGCCCTTAAAGTCAGTTGTGCGGCCTATATATTTATAAGGCATTTTTGATTTAGAATGATTTTAATATCAAAACCATAGACCTCAAATGGGTTCAAAAGTTAGGTTATGTTTATGATAAATGCTGTCAAATATGTCAGTTTTCAGTGCTGCCAACTACCCAACATCGCATTATCGTAATGTGACAGAAAATTATCCTATTTACATAAAATAGTACAGGCCCTCAACGGAATTGATTTTGAATGAAGTAGTCCTGGTGACGAATCTTGGATTGGTTTAGGTGAATTTGTGTCTCTCTTCACATTATTACCAAAAATCTCTAATTGTTATGCCGAAGACCTGTCTCAGGGAATGGGGGTAATTTGAAATGCTAAAAGTAGATGACGCTAGTTAGGTTGGACGTCGTGTCTATAATCAAATCCAAGCGAATAACCAAAATTTCTGTGTTATGTGCCGCGGTTATAATATGGTTCAAGATGACACACGGGTTGATGACGTCAGTTACACGAATCGCTTGAACGCGTTGGTTTTAACCGCGGTTTTGTTGCAAGTTGTTTATTTTAGAAAAGCGCGTATATCTCTCTGATTATTTTTATTATCACTTAATAATCGGGGCTTTTTCGTCTACAACTGTGTATGGAAGGTTTAAATAAGAAACCTTTCATAATATTCATGGGAGAAATGTTTCTTTCAGATTTTTTTTTAATGATGAAACCATGGCTTTGTAGCTATGATAACTTTCAATTCTCTAAATTTTTCCGCATGTCAAAGAAAACATTTATTGATTCAGCAGAAATGAGGAAAAAAGAAATTAGCAAAACCGTATACAGGTGGATATCATCTAGTGACTTTATATGGCCATAGTTTAATATTCTTGTGGTATATGGCTACACAGGATACTTTGTTAAGCATAGGAACTACATTTAAAGTGTCCCCAACAACCGTAATGAGTATAACTAATAAGGTGCTCCACTTTATGGTAAAACTGAAGTCAGCCTGTATCATTTTTCTCAAAAATGAAGCTGAAGTGCAATAACAATATCCAATACCCGGCAAAATTCTAACTTGTCACATTTCAAATAATAACCAGAAATATAAAACTACTCTTGAGTTGGGTAAATACCACAATTTTGCGGTGATAACTATGACATATAACAGCTGATTCGTGACGTCACGGATCTTATAACCAAACTGATAACTACACTCGCATGAACGGATCGGTAAATACCAACCCAAAATGGTAAATACCATTTCCATTTGGTTATCCGCTTGAATTTGATTTATATTGCCGATGAGCTGTTCACGTCATTAGTCGTCAACAAAGGCGTATTTTCTTAATTCATATAAACTATAGACAAGTTTGCTGTACAACCGGTCGCTCAGACGGAAATTAAAGGAAGTAAAATTGGTTAATAGGTTGCACCGATGGCTCAACCGGTTAATTAAAAAATACGCCTCAAGTGATCAAGTCGTTATAGGTTGCCTTTTTTGCCATCTGTTTATGACTGCTTAATCAAAGTCGACGGCTTACTCAGACAAGCGCCGCCTAGCGGGAGCAAAATTGGACACCGCTGCCACTATGATCCAAAAAAAATCTCCAACATTAAATATAATTATACATTTATTAACATGATATACAAATATGCAGAGCATTACTTTTTCTTGAAAAAATTCATCAATGTGGGCTGATTCTGAGTAATCGCATTCTTCTTGCCCTTCTTTGTCTTGCTTGTTGTCCTTGGTGAACTTTCATTCGATGAGGCACTGTTTTTCTTTTCTATGGGTTTAGGTATAGGTTTTTCTTCTTCAACGTCTTTGACAGGTTCAGCAACTTCATCTTCTGCTGCAGAAACATACTCATAATCTGTTGTTGTTACAAGGAATCCATCCTTATCCATGTAGGTCTTATCAACAGCTTTACGAACTTTGCCTTTGACTGATTCTTGTTTTTCTGTGACAGTGACAGGTGGAGGCGCTTTCTCAATTTCTTCATCAGACTTTTCTATGACATCCTCTTCGTCTGACTCATTGCCAAATAAATCTGAATGATAAATAGAACCCTTAGCTGGGATATCATCTGTTCATGTTTAAAGGGCACATGATACATATGGAATTTGTAACGAAATTTGTATATGACAACTGGAATCTTGGCAAAATGAATGGTCACGGTCATAGCCTATAAATGATCACATCTGAATGGAAACAGTATACCCTATTTCACAAGTATCCATCACGGTAGAATGACAGCTGATTATCTAGTAATATTTCACAATTCCCCATATCGGCAAAGAAAACATAATTCTGACGGATCTATCATTTCCAGGTAGACAGAGCTATATTTTGTTTCGGTTTTTGTCCGCTACAGATTCATTTTGTACTTACTTGAAGCTCGCTTATTTAGAAAAGTTTATTTGAATACAAAGAACAAACCAGTTTTACAATATTTGCACCCGATTCATTATAGCCAATGTCGCAGACTGACACAAAAATATCACTTGCTGATCAGCAGACGTCAAAGCGTGATGGATACTCCTAAAATAGGGTATTATATGACAGCTGATTATCTAGTAATATCTCAAAAATTCCCCATATCACCTACATAGTTCTGACGTACCAGTCAAAGTTGATTTGCATACAAAAAACAAAACGATATAAACAGATTTTACTAGATTTACACCTGATTCATTATTGCCAACGTTGCAGACTAACACAAAAATATCATTTGCTGATCAGCTGTTCACCTCAGTAAACGTCAAAGCATGATGGATGCTCGTGAAATAGGGTATAAGGTAAATATGACAACCTTCATTGACATTCAACATAATGTATCGCTGGGACCTTGATCGGCGAGGAATTGATTGGCAGAGGCGTCGCTAAGGGAGCCAGAGTTACCTGACCACGTATGAAGCGTGCTTGCATCCTGGAGCGTTCGCGACATAATCGCGAGTATTCCATAACCGTCTGGAAGCACTTGCTGCCATCTAGACCACTTCCATGGAAGTCCCCGAAAATGCTAGGAAATATCTCGACGCGTCGATTGGTGGATAAATACCCGGCCAGATGACGGAAGCAGTTAGTCACAGTCGAGACTCAGTCGAGTCCGTAGATATCGAGCGAGGAATTAAGATGGAATAATAGTCCAGACGACACAGTACATAATAAATTTCTTGTAAATTAGTTGCAAATGTTATAAGTTAGCGTGACAGTAATAAATTATACTTTGAACAATAAAAAGGTATTTCTGTTACATTAACATTACTGACTTTTGCCAAGTTGCCAGTTGTCATAAGCAAATTAAAATCAAATGTCATATTGTGCCATGCAGCCCTAAGAAAAGATTTGATGTTTAAAAGGCAGTATCTTCTCACCACAGAAATAATCTTAAAGGGACCAAATCGATGTACTAGAGTAAAAGAGTATTTAAGATGACTACTTTGAATATCTTGTGTCAAATACTTATTTATATCTAGATATTCATTAAGATGTTGCTCAAACTTACCATCACTATCAGAATCATTTCTTTCTATTATCCTCTTTCTTCTCTTTGTATTTTTCTCCTCACTACCACCTTGGCTCCTGCCTCTTTTCTTCTTAGCATTTGATTTTTTGATTTCCTTTTTCTCCTTTATTTCCATTTTAGTTTCCTTCTCAACTTCATTTTCTTTCTCATTCTCAACTTTCTTCAAATCCTCTTGAAAATCTACTTCCATAAATTCAGTAACATCAATATCATCTTGGGAACATTCTGTAGAACCAGTACCATTTGTTAGACTAGATTTAGATTCTGACTTTGCCTTACTACCAAAACTAGACTTTGTTGAACCTTGAGAGAAGAAATTAGACAATGTTCCTTTGCCCTTGTTAGTTGGTTTTGTATCTTTTGCAGATGTTTTCTTATCATCTTTTTCTGTAGCTTTTGAAACAGGTGCCTTGCTGAACATGTCAGATATAGCTGTTGACCCTTTAGACTCAGGTTTCTGAAAGCAATAGTAGATAGATAATTTATTGCTCACATTTTGTAAATACATGCGACACGTCAAAGAAGGAAAAATTATTGATATATTAGACATTAAAAATTACAATTAAAAAAAGGTCATACACATGATAATCACAATTTCAATGTTGTAAGATAAAAACTCTTGTACAGTATCAAAGCAGTGCTGGCATAGGAATATCTTTGTGCTTAAGCTCGCTATAATTTGTGATATCTCTTAGATAGATATTTTGGGAAGTTGTTGAATAGGTGCATGCAGTTGTAAAATACAAATCCTTCATATGCTGCTGTTTTATGCCTAGGAAAACTGAAAAGATTAGAGATGCACCGAGTATCTACTACTTTTTTCAAAACGCCGAGTACCCGGTAAACTAACGCACCACCAAAAAACAGTTGTGTAGCTAGATAACTTTTTGAGAGTGCAGCGTCGTATTTATGGTTTTTTCTGAAGTTTTCTTATTCGAATATTAAAAAATCTTGCAACAGCTATATTGTGGTATAGAAATGTTTTTTATGTAAAAAAGCAGCAAAACACATCATACGCCACTGTTAACGGGAAGTGTGTTATGATATATCCATCTGTTTTGGTACCAGGGTCTAGGAGTATGTTTTTTACTGTGGAACTCACCAGCTATATTACTGAACAGAATATTGAAACTATATTTTAACACTACATCCTTGGAACATTTATATTTGATATACTTTTCAATCCTTCCTATTACAGGAACACTTTTGTGAAACATTCAATTAAAGGTATATATATTCAACATCTTATATTTTTGTTGAAGGTATGCAATGTGAGACCCCAAATTTTGAATTCAAATTTTGTAAAACTACCCAATAGTACTCCTGCCATACCAAGGCCAGTACAAAGATTTAATTTCAATCATAGGTTTTTGAGCTGCCTTTGGGATATGGTTACAAAGGAAGTTCACAACCTCTGGCTATTGTGGTGGAACCAATTCTCATTATGAAACAACAAAAACCTAAATTACCCTTACTTATAAGTAAAGGATTTCTTTGCAGAAGCACAGAATATTTGTTATTCACATTACCTTGGACTTGCTTCACTTTGTTTTCAGCTTTTGTTGTTTTTTGAGTGTTCATTTGGAAAAAGAAGAGTGAACAAAATGTGCAAATAGGCAATACTATAATGTGGCTTCAATTTAAAAAGGTAGTTACACCTTGTATATAAAAAATTAGATATGCAAATACTATAAATGCACCAGCTTAGGAGAAGATGGTTAAGATTTACATCCAAATCAGGCAGCTCATTTTGACAAAAATATGTTGAAACCTTGGCCATTTCATTGATGAATTAAATTCTTGGAGAACATAAGTAGTTTTGGGAAACATGTTTTTTTGTATTTACACACATTATGTATATTGCATTAAGACTGAGTAATTACCCTTGGCAAAGCCATACTCAGTAAAATGAGCAGAGAGCGAGAGAGCAAGAGAGCGAGAGAGAGAGTACTTGGTGCATCTTTAAATAGTATTGATGTCACTTAAAATCGATTGAGATCTTTGAACAAGCTTAATATTTTCATTGAGTAATAATACCTTGGATGGGAAATCTTCAGATGACTTGGGGCTATTGGTCTTAGGCATAAACATTGCTGATTTTCCCTTTATTGTAGTTGGAGGAGGTGAAGGTAGTTTCTTAATTTTTAAATTTCGCTTCACACATTCCTTTCCAATAATGCAACCAGGTCTGAAATCAAATCATTTATAGATTTTTTTTTAAGACTATTTAACTAAAGTCTGAACCCCATTCACTCTATGTCATTTATGTCCCGCCAACATGAGTTCACTAAATTAAGCAATGGAGACTTTGACTATGAGTAAATGATATTTGAAGTTTGCTACAGTTTGAGATAACCGAGCAATGAAGACCCCACCCACTGGAAGCTTATCCTGTAAGCTTGTGCTGAACTTCCTATTTTTATTATTATTCTGACAAATTGGACAAATATTCACTTACAATGGTTCATCTGAGATTTCACTAGCATCAAACTTATCCACAAGAGCTATTATATTAAAATCAACATCATTGTTTTTCTGCACACTGAAAATAATATCACTATGTATCTTGTCAAATAGTGATTCTTTTTCTTTGATGTTAGAGTTATCAAACATCATAATGCTGTCTCCTTTACCATTTTTTAGGGTACCCATTACAGTGTAGGTCACAGATAGCTGCTGTTTAGAATCAAGTTTTCTTCGATCTTCTACATATTTGCTGATTAGTCTTTGAGATTCTTGCAGTGGTATACCCAAACTACGAGCTAAGAAAGGCACAGTGACCTGAAATAAGTATATGTTTAGGTGTAAAATTGCATATATGGAGACCATACAATTTGATCATTGTCGATGACAAATTCTTGGAGTTTTTGGAAGTACAGTTCTTCGGTTTCAGTGTCCATGATTTATCACTGCAGATTAATGTTCCAACTTAGATCAAACTTGAACTGTGATATTCCTCAAAATTCAATATGTTTACAAATATTCTCCCGCGCTTCTTAGCCTTGAGTTTTGATTTTGAAGGTTATGTAAGCGTCAATGATATGTCAAATGTAAGCCTAGTCATAGACGACGTTTATTTTTTCTCACTCTTACCCGACGTTTCACCCTCGGCTACTTATCTGCAACACAAAGATATAACTGTAAAATCAAATCCTCTACTAATTTTTGTCGGATTTTTATTTCAAATATAATGCTGCTTGACTAGCGTACCCTTTGCTGGTTGAAGATTCCAGCTAAAGCTACAAACTTTCGTTGAAGTCAGGATCTACAGAATCGCAACCATGGTCAGCACCTCCCGCCAAAAAGGAGGAATGATCCCGAGGAGCTCAAGCATAATATAGACAGAGCCGGCTTAAGTTAATTTTTAAACAGCGCCGGATTAAGAGCATTGCCCGAGTGAAGGATTTTAACTATGCATAATATGCCAATTCCTGTAATTCCGCCTAAAGTAATGGTTGAATTTTTTGCGCAGTTATAAGATGTGCCACAATAAACGAAACGAAAAAAAAAACGATATATTTAATGTTTTGAAACATTTTATTTATAAAACTATATAAACTATCAGCCGTCAGATTCATCTGATGACGTTATAAGAACTGAATAATCCTGACTTCCAGTTTCAGTTATACTGGGATTTTCAGAAACGTTTGATGTAGATAATTTACTGGCGATTATTGAAGTTGAGGTAACAGCAGGATTTTGAGGTGCTACTGGTGAAGCTTCAGTTTGCCGAAACTCGTTTTGTTGGGAGCTAGGAGAAGCACTGACTTGCCCTGTCTGGGTTAAGTTTTGCAAGGTTGTGATTACGTTTAAACGAAACTGCAACTTCTGCTGATGATTCAAAGTTTTTATAATCGGTAATAGAGATTTGAAAAAGATAAGGTCACTTTCTTCATTTTCAACTACACCACTATTAATACTGGTACTGATAACCTTTACTGTTTCTTGGGTTTCATTCAACACCCCTACTCTATTAACTGTCAATTCATCTGAAGAAGTACTCATCTGCACAGTGTGATGCTCTGACAAAACACCATATGAATTACTTTCAGTTTCAAGTCTTCGCTTTTTAGCAAGTTGAGCATCATCTCCTATTGCGAAACACACTTCAAGCTCAGGGGCTTCAGGAGGTTCAGTTTCAATATTGTTTCCCACTATGAATACTGAGGCAAAGCCGTCAGGTTTATCTGAGCTACAATCTTCAGTACTGGCGCCTAAGCAAAAATCTTTAGTTTGGTCTAGAAATGATAAAAGGTGCGAGTATGCCATAAAAGGTGGTGTTGCACCTGGATTGATTCTCGCAATGAACCTTTTCCTCATACTATATTGGAAATATGTGCTTTTTATATCACACCATTTGGCCACTATCCTCTTTTCTGGAAAAGAAAAATGCCAATTTAAAATATGAGTCCTCTGGTTCTTGTGTATGCTTAAAGTGGTTGGGCAGGTATTAAATATTTTTTTGAAAACTGTGACTACAATGTCAAATACACAGAAGAATATAATGTATCAATAAGGAGCTTACCAAATGTCTTGCAAAGAGCAGCTAGTAAGGCCTTACTTGTTTCACACATTTGTGAAACAGGCCCATTCAGGCATTTGGTAAGGCTCACACTGCCCATGATATTAATAAGACTTTGCAGATAGGTGGCTGAGGTACAACAAGAAACTAAACTTACTCAAATACTCCTGTTCCTGGAAAAAATGCTTTGAATAGTCTTCAACTAAGGCAATGCAGATTTCATTCCATGATTCATCAACACCTAGCCTATCTTCAATTGGCATATCTGGATTCCATATCTCTTCTTTCCTTTGTATTTGCTTAATCAAATCTATTACATTGATCCGAATAGTCTTGTTGCCCAAGGCTATATCTGGAAAAGGCATGGAACTACTCCAGATTTTTTTGTTTTTACAATAGTAATATAACAGCAAGCGCGGATCCAGCATTTTGAGTTAGGGTCGGCCGCTCTATGCTGCATCTCTCTCTCTCTCTGTCGCTCAAACTGAATATACATTGAGCTTGCGCGTGCTTAACAATTGAAAAGCAACGCAAATGCCCTCTAAAATGCCTTGGGATGTTGTTCATGTTCGTTAGAGGAATATCTAATGTTAGCAGCATTGAATGTTGAATTTTTTCATATTGTTTTTCGGGGTCGAAAATTGCACATTTCATACTTTTTCAAATGTCAAATCGTTTATATCTCGAAAACTATTAAGTGTTTGTAAGAAGTATGACCCAAAAAACTGAAAAAACTGTCTGACGTGAAAAAACGACTTTTAAAATTTACGTAAAAAATGTCCAAACAATTTTTGACGCAATTTTGAGGCTGGCAACATGCAGGTTCGTTAAAAAGGGTCCTTTCTGAATAAAATTCAGCAAAAAAAGTGAATCAGAATTGATTTTAGTGACAATATGTTAACAGTCATAGCATATTTTTGTTCACATATGACAAGTGTCTATACTAGGCTGCCCAATACTCAGCTAAATCAAATCCAAGTGAATAATCATAATTTTCGTGTTGTTTACGTAAGATGACACACGAGTTGATGACGTCAGTTTTTCGAATCGCTTAAACGCGTCGATTTTAACCGCCGTTTTGTTGCAAGTTGTTTATTTTAGAAAAGTGCGTATATAATTTCTGATTATTTCTATTATTACTTAATAACCGGTACTTTTTCATCTACAGCAGTGAATTGACAGTTTAACAAAGAAAACTTTCATATTATTGATGGGAGAAATGTTTCTTTTTTACGGAAGATATTTTGCAAGTTGTAAGTCCCTTGAGAAAATCTCTCTTATTTTTAAAAAAGTTTGTGGTGAAAATAAAAGTTGTCGCCCAAAATTTTAATGGTGGACCAGGGCCCTGTAGCTATGATAACTTCCAATTCTTTAAACTTTTCCACATGTGTAAGAAAACATTTAATGACTTAGCAGAAATAATGACAGGAAAAAGCAGTGAAAAAAGGTATTATCAAAACTGCATACAGGAGGACACTATCCAGTGAGTATATATTTTAATATTCTTGTGGTATATGGCTACACAGGATACTTTGTCAACCATAGGAACTAGAAGTAAAGTGACTCCAATAACATAATCAGTATAACTAATAAGGTGCTCTACTTTATGCTAAAACTGAAGTATGCCTATATCAATTTTCCCAAACATGAAGCTGAAGTACAACAAAAATATCCAATACTCGCCAAAATTCTCTTCTTGTCACATTTTAAATAATAACCACAAATATAAAACTACACTGGAGTTGGGTAAGTACCGCAATTTTATGGTGATAACTATGACATAAGAGCTGATTGATGACGTCACAGACCTTATAACGAAACTGATAACCACACTCGTTTGAACAGTTCGGTAAATACCAATCCAAAATGGTAAATACCATTTTCATTTGGTTATTCACTTGAATTTGATTCTAGTCTCAGTAATTAAAGTTGTAGTGTACATTTGACAACCATGAAAACTTTCATTTGTCCTTTGTTAGTATTTCCAGGTTTCCATATAGGAGTGTAATAAAAGCACCTCATCTTACAGGACTACTAGTTATTGTGTAAAAACTTACTCACTTTCTTCAGTAACATCCATGCTTCTGTTTACGTCATTAAATACTCCTTGTAAAGCTTTGCGTAGTGTCCCAGGGCTGACTCCTAATGTAGCACAAAAAAACTGGCAACACACCTTAATAGGTATGGCCTGATCTTGCTTCAAGAGGTAATATTCTCTTAACATTTTGCCTGGTATAATATTGCCATTAACTAATGAATGGTTAGGCAGCTTTACATTTACCCATTTCTGAATATACGCCCTCTTTTCTCCTTCATTTAATGACTTAAATTCCTCAAACATAACCTGTAGAAACATAAATGAGGTCAGGGTAAGAATATCATCTAGTGCTTTGGATTATGTTGGACTTATCTACAACACAAGGTGCTAAGCTGGAAAACTGGGGAAGCATCAGATGGTGACAGTTATTAGAAAAACAACAGACAAAAATGCATTTTTAATAGCTGAAATCAGATTGTTTATACATTTTTAGTTTGTTTTAACTTCTTTACATCTAGAAGAAAACCTATTTAAAATTCAATAATATAATGGTCACTTAATCCTCTGAAGGAATCAGCCAATACGATTTAAATTTTATCCAGAATACTGATAAAGTGTGGTCACCTCATGTCAAATTGTCAATATCCCAGAATAAGGGTGATGAGCACTAGCCAAGACAATGCAGAACTAAATTATTATGTTACTAAATATGCATAAAAGTGGCGACCATAGGAGTTCTGTATATGAATAGTGAGATATTATGTTTAATACTGAGGCCACAAGTTACACATATTTTCAGCAACATACTTATTCAGTTTTAAGTTTTCTTGATTGGTGCTCTCCAGCCTAAGGATTATTTTCCTCACATCTGACAAAAACCTACCCTCCAATGGGTATATGTTTTTAACAGAGGAAGTAGGATCAGCGAGGAGTGTGCATGATTCTCTTTTCTTTTGGGGAACTGTAATCTTGAGCACAAGTCTCACTGTCATCCATCACTCTCACTGCACAACACAAATTTAACTTTGTGATGCAATGTTTATTGATACAAACAAAAAAATCAATGACTTCCCAAGTGTGTTTGATAAACTCCAACAACTGTTGGAATTGCTTCCTAGGCAGCATTTTCCAGAAACTATTCTATTTTACTGCACTCAAGAATCGATCCTCATGGTGGAGGTATAGTTACATTCTAAGGACTAATCATGTGATAGTTTATTACAAATCAATGGCACTTAATATAAGCTTTGGTATTGAATAAATAAATTTACTCTTGACATACAAAAAAGTAACACTCAGATTATAGCTGTTTGAGAAGATCTCATGCAAATGGAAACTTGCCTGCCTCTCATCCTCTGTAAAAGAGTTACATTCATTCCTACATGTTTTGTCTTGACAAGGGTTTTGCTTCGGTGCCTTTGGTGCCTTCTCTGTCTTCTGGGTACTTCTTTTCTTTCTCCTCACTTTCTTAATAGGCTGTGCTATATTGGAGATCTCGTTATTCTGAGATGAATCAGATAATGTGTCATTTGTGTAATCCACAGAAACTAGTTCAACATCGCTATCTGAATAATGGGAATCATTGTCCTGTTGACAGCCATCTGTAGCTACATTGTTGCATCCAAATGCTTCTTTTCTATTGTCAGTATGTTGTTCTGCTGGATTTTCTGAATAAACACTAGAAATGACTGGAAGAATCATCTTTTCTGGTTTGTCTGGTGATGTATTATCATTTGCTTGGGTAGGTGAAGCAGTCTCTGCTTCATCCAAGGCTTCATCAATTATTATTTGATCATCTTCATTATTATATATCAATGACATGATCTGCCTTATCTTGACTTTATATGTCTGTGAACAACGAAACATTATATGTAATAAGAAATTGAAATAGAGGTCAACTCCTCACAAATAGAAACTCAGATATATGGGACATTGTTTTCACTCTGTGAGTCTGACTAAAAACATTATTGCCACAGCTTTTTTCAGGATGTTTACAGGTTGAAGCATACATTCAGTAAAACTCTTTATGGGAGACCCAGGCAAAACGAACATGTTCAGCATCCAGTTATTAATACTGGCATGTTGATGAATATAGAAGCTGGTGAACTGAGTCTATATTTATTAATCTTTGAAAAATAAACTGTAATTCTTTGTAGGTAGTAACTGGATAAATCACATAAAGACATTGTGCAAAGTAAATACAACATAAATGATTAAGAGTTTAATTCAATACAAACACAGACTATAAAACAACCATCAGCGCCCAAAAATTGTGAACATTTATGATAGAATCCTGAAATATGTTTCAGCAGTTATATTCAGCAAATTGCAGATGTGAATAAATTTATTGAATTGTTGTTGCTTCTTCCAGCTGCCATCTACTTTGGATCAATCTTGTTTCCTATCAAAACTATTTATTCATAAAATATGATGAAAAGAGATCATGGAAATGGAAGTATAAGCAGCAAATTTATTTATCAAAATCATTGCTATATATATATATATATATATATATATATATATATATTGACCTACATATACTTAACAATCATTAAAGACAAATTAATTTGTATTATTATGTACTTGGTTACAATCTCCAATTCATGCTTTGTACCTACGTCATTAAGGATATTCACTTCGCTCAGGTGTCCCCAACTTATTGCTACTTCTGTGAGGCAGTGAAAGAAAAATAGATGAGCTTTGAGAGTGACCTCAGCTGCTCAGTCAATTTATCACTGATTCCCTTAGCAATACAGCTTGATTTGAAGCTATATAGATATAATAAGACAAAAACGACAATAAATACGGTAAATTTCTGTTGACCTAATAACTCACCTAAAAAGCTTTTCACAAACTAGAGTCAAAAATCAGTCCAAAAATTAAAAAAAATTAAAAGTTATTGCTTATTTCCTTTTTAGACGAAAGTTGTTTGGGTTTGGTTTTGAGGTTATAAACATTTTAACACATTCCGATGTTGCCTGTCGTTAAAAATCGCATGAATTGTATATTGATGTTTTAACACGCTTTTATTAGAAACTAAATTAAGGGACAATATATCGCAAAAATCATGTTTTATAGGCACTCAAATCGGCGATCCATCTGCGATCTGCTATTTTTTAGTACAATAACACATCTAATATTGAATAAAAGCCACCTATAAATTCTGAAATTCTATAATTTGCCTCAACAGCTGGCAATGCTTCAAATAGTCTAACGTGCCAGTGAATTGAGTGTCGACGAAGATATCCAGTGGAGCGACAAAGTCAAATATCTGGGGATCGTATTTGACAAGTCCCTCACCTGGAAAGCCCACATAGAAGCTGTCATCGCAAAGACCAAAGCAGCCATGGCTCAACTCTACCCATTACTGGGTAGACACAGCCGGATGCCGCTAGCGACAAAGCTACGGCTGATCAAGGCCATCGCCAGACCTCAGCTCGCTTACGCCTCCGCGGTCTGGGGGTACGCTGCCCCCAGCTACCGCAAGCGACTTGCTGTTCAAGAGATGAAGCTACTCCGGATCGCCACCAGTGCACCATCCTACGTAAGAAACTCAACCTTTCGTAGAGACCTGCATTGGGACACCATCCACGAGTAGGGGAGACTGTTGTACCATGGAACATTTTTTATGTTTTAATTTTTTTAATTTTTTGTAACTCTTTATTTAACAAAAAATGTATGCCAATGTGTTCGTTTAGGTGTTGGCTTTATATTTTTGTAAGAGTTATCAATTATTAGAATTTAAAATAGTAATAAAATGGATATTTTTACTGGCATGTCAAATGCTCCATGGTACACAACCGTAATGTACCATGGAACATGTACTCTTGTACCTTGGAACATAATAAATCCCAGGTACTTTGGTAAATGGAATGCAAAAAGAGAGATGTCCAGAGTATTATTTTTAATAAATCATGTTCCAAATGACTCACAAATAATAAAACCTTACAAATAACTAAAACAACAAACATTAGTGAAAAAAAAATATAAGAAAAGATTTGTTTCAGCGTTTAACACAAAAATCACAAATATATATTTTGCGCCCTTCTTTAGTTGCAGCACAGAGTTCGTGGGCCCATCCTAAGCAGGACATGCATTGGATCCATTGCTCTCCATGAATGTCATTTTTGAACGATTCATTGCAAAAAAGGCACTCCTCGTCATTGCTGTCCTCATCATCAGTTTCTACAAGATGAACTATATCGTCCTCCTCTTCAGAAGATGAATATTGAACTTGTTTCCTTTGCTGATTCTTCTTCTGCCTCCTTACTTTTAATTTTTTTGATTTGTCTTTATTTTGTTCATTTGTTTCTTCTATATTTATACGACGTTTAAAGGAGACTTTCTTTTCATTTTTTAACCGTTCTTCTTCCGGAGTGTCTGTTGCAATCATGGTTTTGCCACGCTTTCTTCCTTTATTGGTAGCTTTTCTTGGTTTTGCTTTTGGGTAAGGTACAACGTCTTCAGGTAGTAAGTTTACAATGTCCGTTGATGATTTTCTTTCTGTTAGTATGGGAAACTGATTTGAGTCAGTATTTATTTTGATTTCGGAAGGACCTGGTTTACTAAGTGTCTCTTTTGATATGTTCAAATTTGGTTGATATGGTCCTTGTAAATTAAAGTCCACACTGGTTCCAGGAAACACTGCTTTAGGCCTATTCTCAGATTCCTTTTCGAAATTATGAAGAGTGATTGAGCCTTCCTTTGCATCATTTGGGCCAATAAATTTTGGATCTGGCCTATCAGTAGCATATGCTGGTAAAAAGTCTTCTTCAGAAAAAATGTTTCTGTCAAGAGGGAAAATACCGGCTTTCCGGAATCCATTGCAAATGTTTATTGGACAGAACGCACGTGGATATGCCTTGCCAACTACTTGTCCAACAGCATAAATGTCAAAAGTCTGTCCAGGGTTGTTAAACAACCATTCCGTCACTAACTGGTTGTAATGGCATTTAAAAGATCCGTAGACTGACAAGTCTAGGGGTTGCAATTTACGAGAAGTGTGTGGGGGGAATGTCACAATGACAACGCCATTGTCTGAAGCCAAATTAAGAGTTTTTAAGTTTAAGTGGGTTTCATGATTGTCCATAACTAAAAGTACACGATCTGACTTGGATGGCCTTACACTTTTTATGAAATGATTCATGAATTGTAAGAAAGTATCTTCATTTGACCACCCTGTCTGTGTAGCAGCCCCAACCGATCCCGGTGGAGCGCCAAATAACATCCTCTCTTTGAAGTGTACACGGGGAAAAATCAACATAGGACTTATGTGATTTCCACTTGCACTGACTGCTGTTATCAATGTAACTAAATTGCCACGTTCAGCAGAAGTCACACTACCAACCTGTCTTATTCCTTTTGGTGCCACAATTTTTCCAGGGGTTTGGACAGTGCTCATGCCAGTCTCATCAATGTTCCAAATCCGCTCAGCTGGAATAGGTCCAAAGCGGTTATGCACACTTTCAATATTATCAAAGAAAGCACTGACATTGGTTTTATTGAAACTACTTGCCCTACTTAAGCTAGTAGCCTCAGGTGTCCTTATAGATAAGTCTGGGTGACGTTTCATAAAAGTCCTCATCCATTCCTCACCTGCAATTTGATTCTGGTGCCATGTATCTGGAGAAGCTTTATTATTTGCTGCAGCAAACTTGAAAGCGAGTTCTCTTACACTTTTTTCGTCAAGCCATAATTCATTTTTGCCACCTTTTTTATATAAAGGAGCAAACAATTCTCTTCATAATCAGTGAATACTTTTTTGTTATCCAGTCTTGGTTTATATTCGAAAGTTTGACTCTCTGATTTTCGAAACCGAGAAAGATGTCTTGACAAAGTTGTTAACTTAACACCAAATATTTTACATGCTTCTCTTAAAGATATATTTTCTGGATCCAAAACTGCCTTAACAGCATTTTCTAATGCAGTAGAATTAACAGGAGGCCTTTTGACGTTCAATTTGCTGCGAGGCATTTTACCTAAAACAAGAGAAAAACTCGATAAAAAGTATCGTCATGTACCATGAAACGTGTTCCAAGGTACAAGCTGTTTTATGTTCCAAGGTACAGGAAGGGACCTTGCCGAAACAAAATCGCTTCCTAACCTACAAACTGTCGTAAACTGATTGTTTAAGAGGATGAATCTACTCACCACATTACAAGGACTTCTATTATTCTAATAAAGTCCACAATCCGACTAGCACCTTCGATTAAAGAAAACGAATTTGAAATTAAAAATTTTTACTTCTGTCTTTGAAAAATAATATTTACTCACAAAAACCACGGGGTGATCAGTAGAAAGCTCAAATTATTGTAAGGGATCTGTAACGGTAATCTAATTTAGGAAATTTATTTTCCGGCCGCTAGATGTCAGAACTATGAAAAAATGGTATGTGTTCCAAGGTACACTATGCCCAAGGTACAACAGTCTCCCCTACATGAGGAAAAAAGCGGAGAAGACCTTCGAGAAAGCTCAGGACCACCCGAACGAGCAGCTACGATTCCTCATGGACTACGATCCGGACGAGAGGCCTCGCAACCGCAGAACCAGGTACCCCAGACCAAGGTCCCAGATGGCACCCGCTAACTGGAACCTTGACTAGGAGACTAGGAGAACTCGCGGTTGCTCTTATCCTATAGAGGTGGTGCAACTTGCAATTTGAGGAAACATTTGAAGGCGAAGCATTTTGCGGTAATAACGCAAGATCTTCCATCTCCTTGGTCTTTAAGAACATCTGAGGAGTTGGAGGAAATACCCGGACCATCAACTTCTTCTACACCTTTGGAAGTCACCCCAGGAAGTTCGGCTTATGACGCCCAAAAAAAAATTGATCAGGACAAAAGACGAATGTCTTTTCCCTCATCAAAACGATCTAAAATATCGACTTTTGCTACGCGACCAATGTCTATTCCACGTACTAAGAACCTGCATATAAAAGTTTTAAACATGATTATTAAAGACATGCAGCCATTTACAATTGTTGAAAATGAAGGGTTGAGAGAATTGTGAGAAGAGTTTGATCCTGCTTATAAACTTCCTTCAAGAAAAACTTCAAGCAACAGTTTGTTGCCCCAAACATATGATGAAGTTGTTCAGAAAGTAAACAATTTACTAAAAAATTCGGAGTATTTGACGATCACGTCAGATACTTGGACATCCACAGCTGTTGAAAATTATTTAGCCATAACCGTACATTATTTTTCTGTCACTCTCTGTCTACACTACAGTTTGTATAAATAGTCAGATTGTCAGTATTTATTACAGTATTCGATACATTTATCAAAAAGTATCGGATACTTCTGACTTCGGAAAGTATCGGATCTTTTGTATCGATAGATACTTTTTGCCCACCAGTATGCCGAAGTCATTATGTTATTAAGTATTAAACTAGGCACACACGCTAGGTTTCGGAAGATCCAATCCCATTGTACGCATCATCATGCATTCAGTGGTCGCATTACTCACCAGCCGTTCCAAAAAGACTATATTGGAAAAACCTATGTAAGGAGCTCGAAGACAATATCTGGGGATCCGCATACCAGATTGTAATCAAACAGATAAAAGGCTTTTCACTTCCTTTTGAGCTTTCAGCGACGAAAAGAATGAAAATAATTGAACGCCATTTTCAACCCAGAGACGATAACTGGCAGACGGGAACAAAGATAACCGAAGATATCCAGCCCTTCACGATGGAGGAACTACAGGAATCAGCAGCTCAAATTAAAGTGGGAAAGGCTCCAGGTCCGGACGGCACACCTCCGGAAGCAATAGCGGTAGAGGTTATACCTGAAACCATATTGAAGTTGCTTAACAGCTTACTGTTCTCGCAGGACTTCTGGAAAAAGCAACTATTACGCTGATATGGAAAGGAAACTATGGGTTTTCCTTTATCTTTCAGGCCTATCTGCATGCTGAGCGTTCCTGGAAAACTCTTCGAGCGGCTAATAAAAGCAAGTACTGAGGGTGAATTAAAAACCAAAACCGACTTGTCGGACGAGCAGCATGGTTTCAGAAAAGGGTGGTCGACCGTAGAAGCGATAAAGGTGGTCGTGGGCACGATAAAAGCTATCCATATGAAATGGTGTCCGCAGATTGCGTTAGATGCAGAAAATGCCTTCAACTCACCAACATGGTGCCTAGTTATCAAATAAATGTACGCTAAAGACATCTCCAGGTACTTGATCGGGCCCTACAGGTATCCAGACAGAGTACAAGGGTACATGTGTGCAGACGTACCCCAGGGATCAGTGTTGGGGGAATATCCTTTACGACGGCGTATTAAATCTTTCACTACCGGAGAGGGTAAAATGTATTGCCTATGCTGATGACATGGCAATAATGGCGCAGGCGAATCATGCAAGAGAGCTACAAATCGTAGTTGACGAACCACTAGCGAGAATAGATGAGTGGATGACAGCAAAGGATCTGGCTCCTCACAAAACGGAAGCGATTATACTGAGAGGCAAGCGTAAAAGGCATGCACCTAATTTTCAAATTAGAGGCACCATAATATCTCCAAAGAGACACTTAAATTACCTCGGAGTGACGCTAGATGACAGGATGACCTTTGGGGAGCACGTTAGGCGGGTCGCGAGTAAGAGGGTGCCGGTGCTCACTAGAATCTTACCGAATGCGGGGGGCCCATCCAGCTCAAAAAGAGCAGCTATAGGTGAAGTCATCCACCAAATTATCCTATATGCTGTGCCAGTAAGGCACCAAGTCATGCAAATAAAGAAATATAAGAAGATGTTGCTAGGAGGTCAAAGAAAGGCCCTTTTAAAACCGACTGTACAGTGTCGACAGCGGCTGCACAGGTGATTGCCGCTGTACCTCCTATACCTTTGCTGATTAACGAGAGGCTTCGCCTGTACAACAGCGACACCGACCTGATGCACGCTAGAACGTTAAAAAGGAAGGTAACCCTAGAGAAGTGGCAACGCGAGTGGGAAGCATGCACATAGCGAAACAGCGACCTGGACTAAACAATTAATCCCGAATGTAGTACAGTGGGTGAATTGCAAGCATCGAAATTTGGATTACTACCTGACGCAGTTCTTAACTGGGCATGGCTACTTTGATTCATACACCAAGAGATTGAAAATAACAGAGGAAAGCACCTGCGGATATTGCGGCAATGAAGACTTGACTGAACATAGGTACAGTGCTAAATTGCGAGAGATGGCAGGTATGGAGAAGTGCTGTCGACAGGCAATTTGGCGAAAAGATTAATAAGTTAATAATAAACATCATACGCCTTATGATGGGGAATAGGCAAAACTGGAATGTCGCACAAAAGTTCATCAGCAACGTGATGACAACCAAAAGACTAGAGGGAAATCTGGTATAAGAAAGCAAAACGGATTAGACGCTGCGATTTACATGAGGACATGCCACAAAAGTGGTGTTACCACGTAGTCGTGAGCTAGAGGAGGTGGTTTAGTGGGATGATAGTCTACTAGAATGTAACTAGAGTCCCACACTCCCATGCGCTGAAACCACGGCGTATGGGATCCGTAAAATGGATTCCACCTCCCGGTCCCCTAGGACCACTAAAAAAAACTACTCACTAGCTGGGATTGAATCTTTCAGAATAAGATACATTTTTCAAACCATTTCTTAGATAGACATGTATACATATAATGTCTCATTTCTGTTGAAAGAAAGTTGGGAATTCCTAGTAAATAAAAACATTGAAAACGCAATAATAAGTTTCTATAAAAATGTTCCACACGGAGCTTCCCTACGGAGTACGGCGATTATAGATACTACTGTTAATCCGTTGTTCTTAAATAGGGCTTAAACGAAAATGTATAATAATTTAACGAAATTTTGATAGCATAGTAAAACACTGTGGATTCCGCACTACGATAATTTTTTACACTTTGTGTAACAGTAGCTCGGATGACATTTTCGGAAAGCGTAATCTTGGTACCACACACTTGTCGAAATAACGTTTCGCAACGCTTCGACGTCGACCCTCTGAGTTACGTTTGAGGCAAAATATCTCGAGACGTTCGTGCGGTACTACCAATCCATACGTGACTGACGACACTCTTATCCCTTATCTTTTATAGAAGCGGACTGTCATTCTGAGATACCGGAAAGTGTATGTTGTGTTCTGCTATGTATGTTGTGATGTGAATCGCTCATTGTTATTGTTAATACCCAGTGAATGGACATAGTGACGTCATCATATAGGCATTTTAGGGCACTACTAACGTACCCCGACCAACAAAAGTGACGTAGAAATAACGTCATTATAACTTTCTAATGTCACACCCAATTGACGTCATTATATGACGTCATAGTATGTGGTATAAAATACCAAATACTAAAGGCCTATTCATACTCAGCCGTGACGTGTCAGTGCTGTGACCGGCACGTGATCCGCCCGGCGAAACTGAAAACATTCTTCCTTGAATTTGGATGAACTGATTCACACTAGACCGGCACGTGGAAGTGGCCGTGTTCTCAGTGCCCTCTACGACGCCGTACCGTGATCATGGCATCGTTTTGGAACGATGTTTTTCGATTTTTATGGCCGAGTTTTTATGTAATTTCGTGAATATTTTGGTATAATTGGTCAAAAACATGAATAATGAAAAACTAATTTAATTTTTACGCGTACATCCCGTGCTGTAGAATCAGTCAAATTCAAAATACATGTACTTTCGATTTCTCGTTTCTTCTTCTTCATCTTTCGTAGGTGGTAGACGGTCTCTGACTGTCGAACGCGGAGGTACCACCCAGCGGATCTTCTAGGCGTGGCCAGAAAGTGTGCATGTTGCATGCACACGTGTTCCCTCGCGAGAGTCCCTGTGGCGTCCCCCCTTTCCCCTGTGTTTCCCCCTATAGCACCACGGTACCCCATGGATGTTTAGGCCTTAGGCCTGGTAGTATAAAAAAATCCACAATTAATGCAATAATTGCAAGTTCATTCTCTGAAAATTTTGCCATCTCGACCTCACGTGAACACAAATGCACTGTCAGAGCACGGAGAAAAATACTGATCGGTGTGAATTGAAAACACTGTGAGCTCACGTCAGCGAGAATCACTGGCACGTCACGGCACTGTCAGGTCACGGCTGAAGGTGAATAGACCTTAAGTCGATATGGCGTCATATGGCGTGGATATGACCTCTATCTGAGGTCGATATGATGTCTATGAGTCGTCGATATGACCGGCAGTCGCTCGCAAAAATAATCCCGCGGTGTATCCAAATGCTCCAGAAAAATTAAAAATGTGACAATGACGCCCCACAGTCAGCATTTTCAAACTACATGATACTTCAGTGATATTTATTTATACAACCGATGAGCCGCATTTTTATTTTACTGCAAATAATCACGAGTGGTGTAAAAAGAACGGAAATGTATTCCCCAATATAGTAAGAGATTTTTTCTGGACACCTGCAACATCAGCACCCATTGAAAAGAAATTTTCTAGGGATGCACAGACCATTACGAAACCTCACAACAGAATCAATAAGTCCCTTAGGACCCTCATGTGTCTTGACTCGTTAGCTAATTCAGAGTTTTTAATTTTTTGTATCAGTTGATGAAGAAATCTTGTGTTTTCTATTCAAGCTTACAGTTTTATCGTTCTATTATTTGTTAAACTATGAACAAATAATTTGGTTCAATATGTATTTGCTCTGTAACTTGTGACAAAATCTTTCCGTTGCGTTGTCAATTTTTTTGACAGTTTCAAATTATTCAATAGCATACAGTTTGGATTCAGAAAAGGTTTGTTAACCAAAAACGCTGTGCTTCATTTTCTTGATAAACTGTATTTGAAAATGGACAATGGCGAAAAGTGTGTAGGAATATTTCTTGACTTGAGTAAAGCTTTTGACTTAGTTGACCACGTAATACTTTTGGATAAATTGGATAGATATGGAATCAGAGGTAAGCCATTTGACTGGTTTCACAGTTATCTAAGCAACAGAAAACATTATGTTGAAGTACTGACTGCACAGTCTGACCAGCACCTATATCATACAGGGGTTCCACAGGGTTCCATACTTGGCCCCCTTCTATACATAATTTATGTCAATGACTTTCCCGCCAAATCCTCGGTAATGTATGCTGATGATACCTCATTACTTATTAATGGCAAAAACCTGGAGTCAGTGATAAGAAATGCCAACACAAGCTTAGCTGGTGCAGAGCAATGGTTCATTAATAACGCCCTGGTCTTAAACCACAAAAAGACAGTGTTCCTGAGATTTAACTACTCTAATATGCACATGAATCGTAGCCTCCTTATAAAATCAAGCGGTAGATCCATGGAAGAAGCAGAAACTATACAATTTTTAGGAATACACATATCGCAAAACTGCAAATGGGATACGCATATAGAGAAAGTTAGTCAATAGATTACCTCTCTTTGCTATTGCATGTATCAGCTGAGTTTTATCGTTGATAAGTGGATATTGTTAATGTTTTACCATGCACATATCCATTCAGAAACTATAAAATTTTTAGGAATACATATATCGCAAAACTGCAAATGGGATACGCATATAGAGAAAGTTAGTCAAAAGATTACCTCTCTTTGCTATTGCATGTATCAGCTGAGTTTTATCGTTGATAAGTGGATATTGCTAATGTTTTACCATGCACATATCCATTCTACTCTGACTTATGGAATAGAAGCGTGGGGAGCATCCTCCAAGTTACAAAGGCTTCTTATATCACAAAAAAGAGCTATTAGAACTATTGCAAAGGTGGGAAGGCGCTTTAGTTGCAGGGAACTATTCACAGCTTTGAAGATTTTGACGCTGCCTTCAGTATATATATATTGAATATATTGATTTACGTCAAAAGTCACCTGAAAAATTTTAGTTCTATAAATTCTGGAATTTATAATACCAGAAACAGAGAAGTATTGGAGGTGCAGATTTTGACGCTGCCTTCAGTATATATATTGAATATATTAATTTACGTCAAAAGTCACCTGAAAAATTTTAGTTCTATAAATTCTGGAATTTATAATACCAGAAACAGAGAAGTATTGGAGGTGCCGGTACATAGGTTGTCTAGAACGGAGGAGAATGCCAAATACATGAGAATAAAACTCTTCAACAAACTACCCATTGATTGTAAATCACTACCGCTGATATTATTTAAAAAAAGAATCTGGCAAATTTTACTTGATAAAGCTTTCTACTCTATAGAAGAGTTTTTAATGAGTGATAGTATTTTTTAATTGTTTTAATGTATTGTTCAATTTTAATTTGTTAATTTGTTATTTTAATTCGTTTTCATGTTTATACACTTCGTGTTTTTATTTGATGTTATTTATGTATGTAGGCAATTCTGTTTATACTAATATTCAATTGACTTATCCTATATCACTTTGTGATCCACAGGATGAATAAATTATTATTATTATTATTATTATTATTATTATTATTATTTATAAACTACTAGAATCTATATTACAAAAATTATCAGGTAAAATCAATTCTAGACTTGGGTCAAATACTGAAATCCGTTATTCGAATACAGATCCTGGATACTGTATTCTAAATGTTATTCGAATACTCAAGATTCGAATACAAAGGAAAAATTATTCGAATACCGCTGTTTTGAATAACTGGATTCATTCAAATAGGATAGAATAGAATAGAAATTTATTGGTTTCTCAGTTATAAACAAAAAACAAATAAATTTATAACAGAGATAACACGTCATTGTGATACAGTGTAAATAACACACAATTTTTTTTACATACATAAACAAACATACATAGACAACATATAACAACAGCGATATTAATGCTTACGGTTTCACTAGAGCTCAGAACTCTTTAATACTATATGGTTCCATATCGCATATATATTTATGAATGCTTTTTTTGAATATAGTGAATGCTGAAATGGATTGAAGATGTTGAGGTAAAGCATTGTAAAGTTTCATTACAGAGTAATGTGGACATTTTTTGGTAGAATTTAGCTTATGTGATGGGTAGAAGTATTTCTGACTTTTGCGAGTATTGTAACGTTTTTTCCAAACTTTTCTTTATGGCTAAAGATAAATAGTAGAGTGTTATAGATATAAATTCTCGGTAATGTTAATAAGTGGTTGACTATAAATATACTTCTACATGACTCTCTAGGTTTCATTTTGAACATTGTTCTTATTATCCTCTTTGGTATGATAAAAATTCTACTGGCTGCGAGACTATTACCCCAAATTGTTATTTGATAAGACATGCATAGCATGCTTGATTGAGTTTTGAAGCCATACTCTCAATGTGCTTATCAAACTTAAGGCAGCTATCGTAGGTAACGCCCAGGAGGTTTGTATCGCTTTTGATACATAGAGGTTCATTAATTAAGGGTAGTTCTTTGGTGCCTTGGCTTGACTGAAATAGGACACAACACGTTTTTTGTATGTTGAATGCTAACTCATTCATCTGCAGCCAGTTTTGAATATGGTTTATTTGGGTCTCTATCAAGATTCGGATATCAGACGTTCCTTTATATGGTATCAGAATAGTTATATCATCTGCATAGATGCAACTTAGATTTTGCGTGTTTTTCGTGGTGGTGGGTATATCATTAATATAAATAGTGAACAATGTTGGGCCCAGTGTACTGCCTTGAGGAACAGCAGTACTATATGTCCGAGGACTAGATGTTATTCGTTTTCCGGGTTTGTTCAAAATTACTTTCTGTCTTCTATTACAGAGATAAGATTTAAGCCAGTAGTACGCATTTCCGTGTATACCATATTTATATAATTTGTTTAGCAATATTTCGTGATCAATGCAATCAAATGCTTTTGATAGGTCCACAAATAAACCACATGCTGCTCCTTGATTCTCTCGATATTCATGGATTGCTGTGGTGAAATCGAACAGTGCCGTGTTCACACCTCTACCTTTCATGAGCCCCTGTTGCTTATTCCTGAAGTATTTATTTTGAGTGGAAAAAATTAATAAGACGGTTGTTATAAGCAATTTCAAAGATTTTTGAAAAATTTATCAGTAAGCTGACCATATCATCAGGATCGCCTTTTTTATAGATTGGTAATACAAGTGCCATTTTTAATGCTTCTGGGAATTTTCCTTCACTAACAGATGTATTTCGGATATTAAGAAGAGGGTCAGATATTATGGTTATCATTTTTTTAATGATGAAAATTGGAACGTTGTCATCACCACAACTTTTTATGTTTTTTAGGTTGCATACAATTCTGAGCAATTCGTCATCATCTATTGGGGTTAAAAATATTGTTTTATTTTTCAGTTCTGGTTGCAGTCATGATTCAAATTTGGTAGTTTTGAGAGGAGTTTTGGAGCAGCTTCGACAAAGCTTTTATTGAAATGGTTGGCTAAAGCCTTTACATCATTATGTACTGGTAAAACAAACTGATCTGACGACGTTTTGGGTGTGTTAGTTAATTCTCGTACTGTATTCCAAATTCCTTTACTATCATTGCCATGATTATTTACTTTGTTTAAATAGTATTGCGATTTTGAATCTTCTAAGAGTTTCTCATATGTCTGATTATAACTTTTAAAAACATCTTTATATTTTATATCGTTTTGGGAAATCATTTGAAGAGCACTCACCCTGATCCTGAGTCGATCCAAGTCTGGGGTAATTCAAGGTGGTTTCTTACTTCCTAAAAGGGGCATTAGTAATATTGGTGGTGGGGAGGCGAAACCTGGCAACTAGGCCAATTTTGACCCCTTTTTGCCGTCTCCGAAGTACTTACTATTATTGTACTACTCCCCGAGCCATCTACCGAGTACTGACCAAAAAAGTATTCACTCGAATACCAAACACACAAATGTATCCGAATACCAGCCAAATGTAGGTATTCTGAATAGGATTCAAAATACTGAATATATGGTATGCGAAAGTACCTTTCCTAAGAACTCTTAAATTCAAAAATAATGTAAAGTTAAATTTTAGTTTAGTCAAGAGCAGATTCAGGAATCTGTTCATGGGAGCGCAGTGTTTTTCACAGCATTCATGTTCACAAAGATGTTCATCTCTGGGGGCGATAAGATGAACCTATGAATATTACACACGTGCGTGTTATAGACAACTGAACATCCATGACATGGCATTGGACATACGAGTACTAGGCAGAGCTTAGAGCCCGCGAGGGGGGGATTTATCAGCAATTAAAAATTATAGCGCTTCAGCACTTACCTAAGCATCAGAGCAAATGCCCTTGTGACAATTGAAGAACGAGTGATGACATATGTCCAGGGTATGCAAATTTCACGATCCAGGTCTAGCAAGATAACTTCACACCAAGACACAGCAATATTATACCATTTTCTTGAAAAACATGTGAGATTCCTTTAAATCCGCACTTGCTTTGTCTCCAATATTTTGAACTTTCAATTGTCGTTGTTAGGTATACAAGTCTCTTTACAAACGCGAGTGCCCAATAGAACAAGAAGTTGCATAAAACGAATCAAAATCACCTCACAACGCCGTTGACTATGATATATACAGGATGTTCCTTAATGATATGCGAATATTTAAGGGTGTAAATCTACATGAAAAATTAATGTTAGTTTGCTTTATAAACTATGGTCCAAAAATGTTTCCTTACAAAAACTCGAGGTTGAAGTTTTAGTAAAAAAAATTGAAATTAATTAATATTTTCAGAACCGCTTCAGATATTTCACTGATATTAAGTATATAGTGAAAGTTGATAACGTTGCATATTTTTCAATGCAAAGATAATTTTTAGCTTTAACAGTGACGTGCGTACGGATATTGATTTCGATATTTAAAAAAACGGTACGTCATTGGTTTTTTGCCAAATTAAAAGTATTTTTTAATTCCGCGTTCAATTTGAAACAAATTATCTCTCTTGAATTGTTTTCCTTTGATGCGCCATTTTTGAGTAAAAAAATAAAAACCGTTCTATTGTCCGAGAAAATTAATGTAATAATTGAAGAATGCAATTTAGCAATAAACATCTAGTTGCTCTGGAATATGTCACTGGCTTCTGACATCTGACAAGTCTCTGTTATTCAAATCTGTTCGCTGTGACATCTTTTTCATTATTTAGTTTTTACAATCTTGTAAATAATGGTGAATTATTCAAATGCAGAAATGGCGGAAACACATTACGTATATGGCCTGGCCGACGGTAATGGTGAGCAAGCCAGACGGATTTATTACCAGAAATATCCCGATCGTGCTTTGCCAGATAGTCGAACCTTTTCTAATATTCATCATCGTCTTGTTGAAACTGGTTCTATCCGAAAAGAAACATCTGAAGGTAGACCTCTAAGTGTGATAACACCTGAAATTGATGAAGCAGTGCTGCACGAAGTCGAAGAACATCCTGAAACGAGAACGAGGAAGATCGCTAGACATTGAAATATTTGCCATCAAATTGTTTGAAGAATTTTAGTGGATTTTTTGTTATATCCTTACCATATTTTAAGAGTATATGCAATACTTCCCATCGATTTTCCAAGGCGTGTGATCTTTTGTCAGTGGCATCTTCAAAAAATTACACAAAATCCAAAATTTGAATCAGTGATTCTGTTCACGGACGAAGCTAATTTGTCTCGAAATGCCATTCAGAATTTCCACAATAATCATTTGTGGGCAGAAGAAAATCCCTATGCCGTAACCGAAACCCATTTCTAACACCAGTTTTCGGTTAACGTATGGGCAGGAATTATTGGCAACCACTTTATTGGCCCATTTTTCTTGCCGGGACGACTTGACGGACAGACTTACCTCAATTTTCTTCAACAACAGTTGCCTTTGCTGCTTGATGATGTTCGGTTAGTAATAAGAAACAATATGTGGTATATGCATGATGGTGCACCAATGCATTTCAGTGCAGCAGTTCGTAATTATTTACAAAATGTTTATCCAAATCGATGAATTGGGCCCCAAGAATGGCCACCAAGGTCCCAGACCTCAACAGTTTAGATTTCTTTTTGCAGCGCTATCTCAAGATACTAGTGTACGCAACTCCCATTAACACTGTAGCGGAATTAAGAGAAAAAATATTTGCAGCTAGTGATAGAATAAAGAACACTCCAGGGATATTTCAACGAGTGCGCAATTCCAAGAGAAGGAGGGCGGAAGCATGCATACTAAGTGAAAGGGGCCATTTCCAACAATTTTTGTAATCATTTCGTTGGTTTTAATGTTATGTTTATGTTGTCAGTTGTTGCTGTTCATTACCCCTAATCTGTTTAATTTTTCCAACAAAATTAATAATAGTTTTGCAAGTTAGACAATAGAACGGTTTTTATGTTTTTATTCAAAAAGGGCGCATCGAAAGAAAACAATTTACGAGTCATTATTTGTTTTAAATTGAACAAGGAATTGAAAAGTAATT